CCTAATCCTTCACTTTAATTCTATAGTGGCATTTAATTTATCTTCCCTTTCCTGTTGTTACATTATTTTTTAAAAAGGAGAAAAAGGCGAGCTTAGAGCCCAGCCATCATAATGGCTTGACCAAATCACACCAGTTTTAACGGTGATTACTAAACAGGTTTGCCTTTAAGAGAGAACTGAGGAGGGGCTCCCAGCGTGCCATTTCCTGTAAGAACTCGAAACATTTGACCACAGAGGCACTGAGGGGGTTTTCCTGCCTGCCTAGAAGATGAGTGCAAGACTCTTCTACCTTTTTCTTTCTCTTTAGGTCAGTCGACTCCAAAACAGTGATCACTAACCTTTTGGAGTTGAAATACTTAAGGTGCTCGCTACAAGATAGAAATTAAGTTGTCACCTTTCGTGACTATGTTGGAAGGCCCTCGAAGATAATTTTGGGGTCGAGATGTTTCAGACCCCAGGGGAGAACCCACTGGTCTAAGTGCTGAGGTTCTAAGCCTTCTCAGAGCCCAGCCCCGCTACTGCATACCCGCCCTCCCACGCCTCCAGGGCCCCGCAGCTGGTTTCCGACATTCAGTAGGTTTAGATCAGAACCTTAATTACACAGTTTATCTTTACACAGAATTGAATACTTTGAGGAAGAAAATTGCTAAAAGTAAGGTCAGGGCAGGATAAGTTAATGCCATAGAGAACAGCGAAGAGTGTATCCTATTTTTCTTCCCTTAGCTTACTGGAAGGCTTTAACAGATATCCAGAATGTTTGTAAATCAATATTTAAAGCAGTTTGGGGGAGTGGGTGGGGCAGAGCATGAAACACTTATTTTATTCTTTCATCTGCTCTGCTGATAATGTAGCCCTGCCCTTCTAAATTGTGGGGGGTTTGTTTTGTTTTGTTACATTTCAGCACTGGCAACCAGCTAAAGAAATGTTTTTCTACTCAGATATAATATTTAAGATGTTAGATTTTTCCATAGCTTTTAAAAAGTTACTAATAGTTCTCCCCCCCACCCCCCAAAGAGTTTAATATCTAGGAGCACCCACTTACTAAAAAAACTTGCAGCTTTTTGTTTTTTCATTCCTCAGTAATCACTGTAAATTTTTTTCCCTCCAAAAAGAGTCAAAGATTTGGAGTCAGAAAAGCCAGTCTTTTAATTAAGTCTTGGCTCCAGTCTGCTATGGCTCAAGTTGCTCATCAGTCTAAAATATGAAGATTCTAATTCTTGCCTCTACCTTCCTCACAGTGTTGTTGTGATGATCAGATATTTATGAACATATCCATACTCAATAAACTAAAAACTATAAAAGTGGTAACTGTCACTGCTCGCTGAATTTGAGGTGGCAGAGGGTCCCTGTGTCCAGTCCAAGACTGAGAGGTCCTACGAGATCCCTGAAGCTACGCCATCACTTAGGACTAGAATCACTGTGGAGAGAGTAGCAAACGTGCAGTGTTCCCATGCTTTGAACTTTACGTGTCTTTACTTACCCTCACGAAAGCCATGAGGGGAGAACATTATGGACTCCATCTCACAGATAAGGAAACGGAGGCATAGGAAAATTAAGTAATTAGATGCTAGAGGGGACAGCTGGTATGTGGATTTGAACCCAGGCAGTGTGGCTCCAGTCCCCTGCACCCCTCCTAACCGTGCTGCTGCACTGCCTCCCATAAACCTCTCCAGGAAGCATTCCAGTGTCTCCTGGTACTTTTTTCTCCTCTAGGAGTTCAAAAAATTAAACCAAATTAATTTCGCAAAACCTTTTAGAAATATAATTTCCCTGTGGTAAAGGATGGCTTCCCAAATTGGTCCAAAGTAAATCTGTTTATATCAGTGTGCTAAAATGGAATAATTCTGAGTCACTAGGCGCCCTATTGTGGTTTTACTGCAGAAGGTGAAAATTAACTGGAATGATGTTTGCTCTACTTATGTAATCAAACTACAAGCCATGAAATTAATTGCACTCTCTTTGTGTCGTTGAATGCCTAAGAAGTTTTCTTAAAAAGTTTGTAAAGGCACTGTCAGAGCACTTGGAGTTGAGTAATTTACTCCAGATACTGTATAACCTGTATATCCTTTTTTTTTGTCTTGAAGTTGTTTTTGTATAAGAAATCATTGTTAGAAACATTTGATAATGTACAAAGTAGTCTCTAATGACACTGTTCAGTACATTTTTATATTTTTTGTTACATCCCACTTTTGTAAATATCCTTAAAGAAGCCTGATAATAAAATGTATTTCCATATCACCATACGTTCCCATGTGAAAACCTGAGCTTATTAGGAAGTGGTGTTTGCCCAGGCTTTGGTAAAAGAACTATTTTGGAAATAGTCTTTGTAAATGGAACTAATGCTATATTTAAAACACTTCTTTTTAACTACCTAAAATTAAAAAAAAACCTCATTTCAGTTTTATATGAAATTTGACGTAATTATCTGGAGGTCTCATTTCTTGGAATGAAAGTTTAGAATAATTACAACTACAGATTTTTCAGGAACTATCATCAAATACTTAGCTATTGTCACTGCTGGAAGACCCACCTCAAGTTAAATTTTCTAGGTTTAAGACACAAGGCATTTCCTGATTCCTCCCATTAATTGTAAAACTACTAGGTAATTGAGGGGCCAATATGGGGCATTTTCACCTTCCAAAAATTCTCCCAACCAAATTTTTGAAAAAAAATATGGGAAAAAAATAAAGGTGGCTATGAATGGCCCAAAGCTCAGCAGCACATGAAAAATAAGGCCTCCACTGCTTTATTCTGGAATAGTCTCAGATCTAAAACTTCCTCTACATAAAGTGGCATATGTAAGTTTTGCTTCATTGGAACGTATAGAATGCTATATAAAATGTTGCCATTCTATTAGACTGCTAATTATGTACCCATCTCTGATTTGACTTCTCTGTGATAGGATTTGTTAGTCCAAAGGTGTTAAACTTGAAGATACCAGAATCTGAGTTTTACTTGAAATTCTGCAGAATACCCAGATGGAGTGAAAAGATAGAAAGGGTTTTTGTACAATGACTAAAAAGGTAAAATGCTGTTAAGTTTCGAGAATAAATACTTTCACCTAAGTAGCCCTCTGCTTGACTATATATTAAGGAATAGTAAACCTTAGGATTTTCAAAATTGGAGTCTAAACTTTCAGGGAGGTGGGCTCCCAGGATGGTACCATTGCTCTTTCCTAGCTAACCCTAGATATGGCAGCTCTTTAATGTACTTTAAAAAGCAAATATATATTACTAAGGAAAGAAAAGTTATTTATAATTGCCTTGTCATAATTGTTAAGGTGTTCTAGAGCCATTTGCATACAATTTAATGTAATTTCATTCCATTCTATTGTTTACACAACAATTACTCAAAGATGACTGCAAAGGTAAAAGGAAAATAAAAGTTTATAGCACAAAAAAAAAAAAAAAAAAGAAAAGAAAAATAAGGCCTCCATCTTCCTTTAGAGTGAGATTCAGAATGTTAGTCCTGTTCTGAAGGAAGCCAAAAAAGCCATAAAAAGCCAAGAGTAGATCACTCCGCCAACAAACTTCCAATATAGTTAAGCTGTAAGTTCAGAACAGGGCTAGTATTCTTTTCCTTTAATCTCGCTGCAAATCTGTGTTGCCATATAACAATTCTTTGGAAAGTAGATGTCTGGTATAGATATAAAAGTTCTGTGAACTGAAAATGAGAGAATTAGCGCAAATGAGAAAATTATCACTCATAAACAACCACCTACGATTTCAGGCACATGTTAACTTCACTGGTTTTACTGGGATTAAAAATTTTTTAATGTATTTCTTTTAATTACAAAATTCACAGAAGCAGAGGGTAAAACATTTCAAATACCACAAAGGAGAATGAATTTCCTCCCTTCAAACCCACTTCCACATTGGGTTTTTTTGTTGTTGTTTTTTTGAGACAGCGAGCGTGTGTGCGCACGCAGCAGAGGAGGGGCAGAGGGACAGAGATAATCTTAAGCGGGCAGCACGCTCAGCGCAGAGCCTGACCCTGGGTTCTAGCTTACAACCATGAGAGCATGACTGAGCTGAAATCAAGAGCCACCCAGGTGCTCCTCCACTGGGATATTTAATAGTAATTACTGGCCATCCTTTCCTCACTTTCTATATACAAGTAACTGTCACAGAAAACCACCAGTCTGCACTGTTAATTTCTATCAAATTAAGCATTTCTTTAAATGCAGCTTTTCCCCAAAACTGAATCCTAACTATAAAACATTTTTACATGCATGTACCTTTTTTATTTACTACATTCTTAGAGATCTATAAGGACACATTGTTCTATCTCATTTTCTAAAAATACTTTATGGACAGTTCTATCTAACCCATTCCCTCTGAAAGGCCACACTTAGATTTCCAGTTTTTTACTAAACCAATGTTCATGTTTACTTTTTAAAATAAAAATGCTGCAGCTAGCCTTATTAATTAAAGGATATTCCACTTCAGGGCACCTGGGTGGCTCAGCTGGTTAAGCATCCAACTCTTGATATCAGCTCAGATCATGATCTCGGTTGTAGGATCGAGTCCCGCACCAGGCTCTGCACTGATGGCATGAAGGCCACTTGGGATCCTCTCTCTTCTTCTCTCTCTGCCCCTTCCCCAGTGTGTTTCCGTGCTCGCTCTCTCGCTCAAAATAAACTTTAAAAAAAAAAAGAATACTGTTTCAAGGTAACTTGTTTCATTTAGGTGAGCACACAACTGTGCCAAAAGCCAGACACAGCTTTAAAAGATCAATGTTTAGCTGTACTGTATATAAAATGGGCAATTTTTAGTATGACATATAATACTGTAATATGTATTTTACCTGTGATGCATGAATGTATCCCCTTTATTTTGCTTTCTTAGGCAGATTTAGGGGTAAAACGTCCACACTGAGGTATCACCTCCAGGCAAGTTCACCAAACCCAGCTACAGGCGACAGAGAAGGTTTTGACTGACATGCATTCATCGGATGGCTTCCACCATGAAGTCTCTGATGGGGCAGCAAGGCAAAAAAGTGAAATCTTTCTCCCATCTTCTTGGGATTCATCAACATATCATACCCCTGAAGTAACTGCTGCCTGGATGGCTCGTCTGATTTGTCTAAAAGAACCTGGAAAGAAAAAACTTCTTAGTAAAAATAACCAGAAGGATTCCTAGTTATACGCAGCAACACCCATGACCATTAGCCACTCAAGAAAGCACCGCTTAAGATGGGATTTCTGACCACCTGCCTCGGAGTCGTGGAGTGCTCACCAAAAACCTAGCTTGCTGGGGCGCCTGGGTGGCTCAGTCGGTTAAGCATCCAACTGTAGATTTTGCCTCCAGTCATGAGATCAAATCCCGTGTCGGACTCTGCACTGAGCATGGAGCCTAAGATTCTCTCTCCCCGCACCTACATGCACACATATGCTCTCTCTCATAATAAAAAATAAAAACAATTATTAGAGAAAAAAAAAAGCATAGATTGCTAAGACCCAAACCTATGGATTTGTAGGTTTAGCAAATATTCCCAGGTGGTATGATCTATACTGAAAGATTAAGATATTTTCAGAACAGTTACAAAATTAATACTCATAAACACAGGCAAGTTTTGTTAACACACGCGAACATCATTTGGAAGTCTTAGATCTACCGCACACGGAGACGCAGGGCACTTAAAAGGCCCCCTGGCGCACCAGGCCACCTGGTTCCGCTATTCCCTAGCGTCAGGCCAACAACAGGAGTGCTGGGGCCAGATGTGCTTGTCATTTTAAATGTGTTTTTTTTTTTAGAAATACTACAAAATTTTTGTTTTTATTTAAATTCCAGTTAGTTAGGGGCGCCTGGGTGGCTCAGTCGGTTAAGCATCCGACTTTGGCTCTGGTCATGATCTCACAGTACGTGGGTTCGAGCCCCACATCGGGCTCTGTGCTGACAGCCAGCTCAGAGCCTAGAGACTGTTTCAGATTTCTGTGTCTCCCTCTCTCTCTGACCCTCCCCTGCTCATGCTGTCTCTCTCTCTCTCAGAAATAAAAACATAAAAAAAATTAAAAAAAAATCCAGTCAGTTAATATGTAGTTAGTGTCATATTAGAAATACTACAAAATTGAAATATCTAATGATAGTGAAACAAATCGTTACCTTCAGCCGGACATCAATCCCCATGTTTTTTAAAAACGTCTGTTGTTTTATTGGACCCAGAGAAGCTACTTGTCCCTCTGCCATTCTGCGCAAATAACTGAAGTCCACATCGGCTGTTAGGTCTGCAGTTCCCGGGGCAATAAGGACGTCATGAAGCTTATGGCCACAAAATCCCTTGAACATAATTTTTAAAATGAGTTTTTGTCGTTCTGTGGTTATTAAGATTAAAGAAATGCTATCATTTTAGGACATTTTACGTAACAGCTGTTAGAAAGAAAAACAAAGCCTAAACCAGTGGCTTCCAAACTCTTATTAAAACAGTAGCACCCTTCAAATGAGATGCTATGTGGAAAACCTAATACAAAGTGCAGCACTAGAGCGCCCGAAGACGCTGTCCATGGTGATAGAACAAAGGAGGTCCCGTCGACTCTCCCGGTGCCTCAGGTTATCAGTCTAGATGGTATTTTACAAAGTGTATCCATCAACTAGGTGCACCACCAGCCCCTGAGAACACGTGACTGCTCTCTGCCCAGACCTGGTAGATCAGAATCCTGGAGGGCAGGCCAGGGAATCAGAATTAAAAAAAAAAAAAAAATCCAGAGTTAGTTTTTGTTTTTTGTTTTGGATACAATAAAATTAGAAATTGACAACCACAGATCTAGAAAATGACTAATGGTATCTAGTTACATGTATTTCAATTCAAGTCTGGACAGAATTGATAAAGAACATAAGAGAGGATGCTTAGAAAGGATAAAAGATTACATCTGAAAGGAAAAAAGATTGAAAATATGATAGAAAACATCTGATTACATAGTCACAAATCTGCAAAGAAGTGCTAAAATTTTTTTTAAATGAAGGCAGGGGAGAAAATCTTAAGAATTTAAGAACATCTTCCCATTTGTGTTAGTCACATGCTAAGTAGGATGGATCTATGCAGACCTAAGTTCTGCAACTTCAGGAAGAATGAAGATAATTGAGACCCTGTTCCAAGGCAAGTCTGGACAGTGAGGTCTACGGTGAAGGGCAATCATAATACTGTGAATTAATACTCATGACAACACAATGTAATATTACAATGCTAGGCACTGTAGAAACCAAAGATAAAGATCTTCAATGAGCTTCAAACCTAACAACTTAGTAGATCACACCAATTAACTTCCAAGAAGTCATCTTGCTGAATCATACGTACTCTGAAGGTGTCTGTCTTAGTTCCATCGTGACCATAGTCGGCAATCAGGGCAGCCCCTCCAGTTAGTGCAATGCGTTGAGAAAGCTCCTGAACTATTACACCAGCTTCAGGACACACTTCCACGTGATCCCTCGTTTCATCGCGCTAGTAAAGGAACAGCTGCATTAAAATGCATCGCTGAAAAGAAGTCGCCTTAGGGCTTTTCTATAATGAGCATTTCTTGGTTACAATAAATTCCTTCTCAATATGCATTATGTTGTCTACACTCAACTTTCCACATAATATCCTTTTTATTATACAGAACTCCCTAGTGCTTTGATGCCATCCAACTAAATTTACAAGGATACTTTTATAAAAAGGCATAGGCCCTCCCAACCCCCTAGATTCCCCCCAACTCCCTCTCTCCTGAGTACCACTGACTCAAGAACTGAAAACAATCCTATCTCCCAGGACCAGGTGGTTAGCTCTTGGTAGCTGTGAATTTGCTTGTCACTCAGGTAAAACTGGGTAGCTAGAATATGAACAAGCAGAGATGTCCCCAAGCACTCAGGTTGATACTTTAATTTATGCTCTGCCAAAAAAAAGCCTTAATTGATAGGTTCAAGTTTAAAAGCTTCCTGTGCTTTTGAAACAAATAACTTCTGAGGAAGAAGTACTTAGTTATTGCCCAGAAAGTAGACCTTTTTAAAACAGGCAATCTAAAGCCCAAATCTTCCTCACAAGTAAAGGATTTTTGAACCCCTAAACACAACTCTGAGAGAGAAAGGCTCTTGTGATTACTCCCTGAGGTCAACAGAAGCAGCACCACATGTACCATTCTGATGGTGTAGAATCAAGCTTACATGATCATTTAATTTGAGAACTGACTAAGAAAATACAGAGTTATAAACACAAAGCTCTCCTGAAATAGTTGCTGTGACATTACTGTCAGGTAGGCAATACTATCACCGCGTGATAGGAAACTGAGAGAAGGAAGAAGGTAGGGAACTTGCAGAGTAAGCGCGTACTAACTTCCCAGTCACATTACGTTAAGGTCACACAGCCAAGAAAGGGTTTTAATGCAGGCCCCTGACTCGACAGCCTCTGCACTTTCCAGCCCTCACCAAATGTACCGCACATGGTTCGAGCAAATCTCTCCCTGACCCCTGTAAAACAGTAACTCAGAAAACAAAGCTATGAAGGTTGGTTGGTATTCCTACTTGTATGAAGACTTCCGCTGGGGTGGCACAAGGCGCCAAAACAAACCGCAGTTTATCAGAAGCCTGGGGATCGATATCGACGAATACTTCACGCCATCCTTGTGGGGTTCTCTACACACAAAATAATGCATGAAAACGAATTTTTATAAGTTTTTTCCTCAAAACCGCCTCTACCACAAATAACTATTAATTTTCTCCTATCATATATAAGATAGATGACTAACATTTACAAAGGACTTTACCACTTAAAATCATTTAAAGGCATGGCTTCAATTCCTTCCCACAGTAAGACATACGGACAAAAACTACTAGTGTTGGTTACATCAGAGACGGAGCTGCAGAAGATAAAATAAGCAGCATGCAAAGTGCCCCCTGAAATGAAAAACAGACTCAGGACTAATCAAAAGCTTTTGCTAACAAATTAATGCATGCTCTTCACCTTGGAAATTACCAGTACACATACATAACCACCAAATCTTAAGTCTGCTCACTTCAATTTCAATGAGGAAAAATTTTAATCCTTGTATATGAAAACTATTTGCTAAAATATAATCCGTCCTTGTAATAACGCCATTTACCATCTTATATTCTCACATATCTTTATCCTTAGAAAAGTAAGTTTTTAAAATTGAAATTCAAATTAGTTAACATACAGTGTAGTCTTGACTTCAGGAGTACATTCCAGTGATTCATCTCTAACACATGACACCCAGGGCTCATCCCAACAAATGCCCTCCCTCAATGCCCATCCCTCATTTAACCCATCCCCCACCTCCCCTCCAGAAACCCTCAGTTTGTTCTCTGTATTCAAAAGCCTCTTATGGGAAATAAACATTAATAGTTATCTTAACAGAATTAAAATTCTACTTAACCTTTTACTTTTGCTTTTCAATTATTTATATTCATCAGAATTCCAAACAGTTAATTTTAATAATAATCGAAGAGCATAAATGCATATTTTTCCAACATAAGGCCCTCTGTTATTCAATTATAAATATGACTTTATGCCATTAATACCTGGAACTTATGCACAGGAAGAACATCGAAAAATTCATGTGCAAGATAAAAGCTGTACCCTATTTAAAAACAGAAGGAAAAAACGGTTTCAGCATTAAGGCAATACCTAATCGTCTTTTTGAACATCAACAGAAAGAAAGTGCCTGGCTGATAGTGTAGGAACCGGAGGTGGCTTCCAGAGTCATCACGACCTGAGAACCACCTGCCTCAGGCACTGCTTCACCTACACTCTGCAGAACACGCCAAAGAACAACTACTACTGTTCTCATCGTCCACGGATCAGGACCCAACAGCTGAAATATCTCAATTATCGACTTAATCTTTTATTCATCACTGGGCATGAAAGAAATTAGAACTCAAATTTGTTATCCAAATGAGGCTTGGAACTTCCTAAAATCATCTGAGATGGCTGAGCCCAGAACTGGCTGCCCAAGGTCAGACCACCACTTTAGGTGTGAACAGAGGTCCATCAGCACAGGACTCCTGTTGACTGTGGGGATCTTCCGGCCCCTCTAAAAGTAAGGAAGGATGTTCTAAAGGTGAGACAGTCAACCCAACCCACCTAATTCTGCTTCCATCAGTCCCCACCTCCTCGGGCCACTTCAGCATCAGTGCTATCTTAGGGGTCGGGAAAAACTAAAAGGCACAACAGAGATCTATCTACATTTTTGTTTTTACAAAACCACATGAAAGCCATTGCTCCTTACTGTTGGGCACGTTATTTTCTAAGACAGTGCTCTTTTCTAGAAACAAATCTGCTACTCCCTAGGAGCAAGGGACCTGGCAGCAACACGTCAAGATGCTAGAGTGCTCTCCATGTTTGTGGTTGCCTGTCATCGCGGTGCTGGGTGATGATCAAAATGAGATAAAGTCATTACCTTTTGGAACATCTTGCAGGTCTCGGTACCATGAAATTGGAATCCCAGATTTAGTGACACCTTTCATGTATACAGAGGATCCAGAGTTTCGCTCTAGAGGGAACTTCTCTTCCGTCAGTGTTAATGCTTGAATCTCACTCAATTTTTCGCTCACCTCTACCAGATGTACTGAAATGTCACAGTTTTTCAGCACAGATCCCAGCTGACTGAACACCTAAATAGGAGAAGAAAAAAAAAGGCAAACTACAATGTGTTGAATAGATTTTAGATTTTCTATACCATTTCCCTTAAAAATTTGCTCATGTCACAGAAGTAGAATTTGGTTTCAGAGGAACTTCTTCGCACAGGCCACTCTCTAGCAGTCCACAAGAATCATAACCTACCAGTTAGTACAGTCTATGTGAGAGATGAATAGTGCACAGTTTGGTTTCCTAATGGTAAAAGTTACAATGACAACTAACCAAAATTAAAGATTTAGCATCCAGTAAATAATCAGAGTAGTGAGTCTGAAAAGAGAACAAAAACATGAAATGTATACACTCCCCTGATTTTATAAAGCTGCTATATCTATAAAATAATCTCTTCTTTGAGGTGTTCAACGGTGTTCTCGGCAAATCAAATCTGAAAGGCACTAAAAACTTGACAGTTTAACTTTGCAATTCTTTCACATTTTTAATTTTTTCATAGCTACACACATTTTTATAACTGTTGTAAACATGAGATAAAAAGGGGTATGCTGATACTTTATCAGTATCTTAATGCTAAAAATACAATGCCAAGGCATAAAGTACGTCAGTAGTATTTTTCATTTGAATGTAATTTTCACTGCTGATTTGCCTTCTATTTTTGAGATCTGGGTATGCAGGTATAGGCTGATTATAAGAACAAGATGATTTCCAAATTTTGTTTGGAAATGAAATTACAAATGGAAAAACTTGCCAACAGAAAACTCCTTCAGAAATTATGATAAAAAAGTGAAAACAAGTCTATAATTATGTCTTTGTTTTCTTAACATCCCTTTAAATTCTTTTGCTTAAGGTTCTTAGGACTTGATCTAAAGAAGCATCCTATATGCATTTTAAGAGCTGTGGGCTTGAGGGGTGCCTGGGTAGCTCAGTTGGTTAAACATACAACTTCACCTCAGGTCATGATGTAGTGGTATAACAGTTCAAGCCCCGCATCAGGCTCTGTCAGATTCTGTGTCTCCCTCTCCCTCTGACCCTCACCTGCTCTCTCTCTCTCAAAACTAAATAAACATTAAAAAAAATTTTTTTTTAAAAGGCTGTGGGCTTGATTTTTATTGTACTTGAAACAAGACAGTATTAGAGAACCTTATTAAATATTTTATATTCAAATGACTTTGCCAATTTAAAGAAATAAAATAGAACACTGGAAATCTGAATCAGTGGCTGGTTTCTTTCCCCCCCCAAATATGAAATAATCAGGATGATTGAGATGTTTTATATATTTAAAATCCTTTGATTCCTAATTTCAAGCAAAAATCATACCACATCAAGACATTCAAATACGGAGGGAGGCAAGATGGCGGAGAAGTAGGGAGCTCCGTACATTTCACTTGCCCCCCACCTCTCGAAAAGAGAAGGCCTGAAACCATAGGAACCCTTACAGAATCCACTAGTTTGGGAGGAAAAGGAGACAGAGTCCACTGAGAAAACCTTACAGCATGAATGCGAACTGGGGAAGATAAAAATGGGGCGGGACGAGATACAGGGTGGGGGAGATAGCCCCCTTTGCAGGGAGCCAAAACCTCAGCTCTGGACACAGAGGGATCCAGTTTCTTGCTGTCCAGCTGACCCTGAGTGGGACTCACTGGTCCCAGGGGACCCCAGGAGAAACTACTCCTTGCTCACAAGCTCGATGTGGAGGGCAAGCAACGCTGTTCTTCTGGCTCGGCTCGATCCCCACGGGGGAGGCGAGAGCCTTGAAACTGCTCAAAGGGACTTGCCTGCGGGTTTATATTTCGGGTGGTATCAATGGGGCACACAGACTAAGATCTGGAAACGAGGCAGGGCTTGGGATATAGAGAATGGCCCATCATGGCTATGCCCGCGGCACAGGGAGATCTGACCCAAAAGAGTGAGTTGCAACGCTTGGTTCGAGAAGGGACTGGGACGCTGCCATTTTTCCCCCCACAACCACCAAGGCAGAACCTCAGGGAGCCACCAGGGGGCAGGACACGGTGGAGGCTAAGACCTACACCAAACCACGCCCATCCCTGCTAGAGAGCTGTTGTCTTTTTTTTTTTAACCGGAGACTGGGACAGGACCAACATGGATGCACTGCCATAATTCATTCTAGATCAATTTTTTCTATTCAGATATATTTTCCCTGGTCTCATTCCTAATCCTGCTCTCTGCTGGACTGGGCACTATGGTCACTGGTTTGCTTTATCAGTCACATTTAATCCATTCTCTAGATGTATATTCTACACCTCCACCACTACCTTTTTCTCTCTCTCTCCCTGGAGTAATCAGACTATATAGTTTCTCTGAGCAACATTATCTTCATTTCTTTCTCCTCACCTGTAACCATATTCTCCTCTTTCTCTCTCTGAATTAAGCCTCTTAGTCTCTCTGCCTGGTCATTTCATTTCCAATTTCGCTTCCTCCCAGCCTGGTCATTTCTCTCTTTGTATATGCTCTTCCATCCGGCTCTGCATACACCCGGCTCTTTATTTGTAGCTGGGAATTCTGCTTTTATGCTTTTAGACTGTCCTTTGTCTTTTGAGTTTTTTCTTTTCTTTTATTCTTTTTTCTTTTTTATTTATTTTTATTATTATTTGTCTTCCCTCCTTCCTCAATTTTTTGTCCTTTCCTTTTTTTCTTTTCTTTTTCCCTTTCAGTTTACATGTTTGTTGGATTTGTCTGTGCATTTGTGTGCTTTTCTTCCCTGTGTCTTTGTCTGTTTTCATTTCCAGGTCTACCTCAAAAAACAAGCCAAAGAACACATGGTGGAGAATCCCAAATACCACTACAAGTAGGGAAATAAAATAACCAAAGTCTCAACAAAAGAGATCAAGAGACACCAAAGAACACTTCCTGAACGGACAGGCCTTGGACAGTCAAAGAGCCTTCTTTAATACAGCAGTACTCGCAGGTGCAGACTGCATAACAAGCTTTTAAAACTAACAAGAGATACAAAGCTAACCAAAATGACAAAACGGAACTCTCCCTCCAATGAAATTCCAGGAAGAAATGACAGCTAACAAACTGCTCAAAACAGATATAAGCAACATAACTGAACAAGAATTTAGAACAACAGTCATACAATTAATTACTGGGCTTGAAAAAGGCATGGAAGACATCAGAGAAACTATTGCTACAAAGACTATGGAGTTTAAAAATAGTTGTGATGAATTTAAAAATGCTATAAATGAGATGTATAATAAAATGGAGGCATCCAATGCACGGATTGAAGAGGCAGAGAGGAGATTAGGTGAATTAGAAGACACAATTATAGAAAAAGAGAAAGCTGAGAAAAAGAGAGATAAACTGATCCAGGAACACGAAAGGAGAGTTCAAGAGCTCAGCAATACAATCAAATGGAACAATATCCGTATCATAGGAATTCCAGAAGAGGAAGAGAGATGGAAAAGTGCTGAAGGAGTCCTTGAACAAATTATAAGAGAAAACTTTCCCAATCTGTGGAAGGAAATAGACATTGAAATCCAAGAGGCACAGAGAACTCCCCTCAGACTTAACTTGAATCGATCTTCTGCATGACATATCATGGTGAAATTGGCTAAATATAAGGACAAAGGGAGAATTGTGAAAGCAGCTAGGGAGAAAAGGGCCCTAACATACAAAGGGAAACCTATCAGAGTGCTGACAGACCTATCTACTAAAACTTGGCAGGCCAGAAAGAAATGGATGGAAATCTTCAATGTGATGAACAGAAAAAATATGCAGCCAAGAATCCTCTATCCAGCAAGCCTGTCATTTAGAATAGAAGGAGAGATAAAAGTCTTTCCAAATAAACAAAAACTGCAAGAATTAGTCACCACGAAACCAGCCCTATAAGAAATCCTGAGGGGGACTCTATGAGGGAAATGTTGCAAGGAACACAAGATGCTAGAGACACCACCACAAGCATGAATCCTACAGAGAACACAATGACTCTAAATCCATATTTTTCAATAATAACACTGAACGTAAATACGCTAAATGCCCCCAATCAAAAGACATAGGGTAGCAGAATGGATAAAAAAACAAAATCCATCTATTTGCTGTCTATGAGAAACTCATTTTACACCTGAGGACACCTTCAGATTGAAAGTAAGGAGACAGAGAAATATACATCATGCTACTGGAAGTCAAAAGAAAGCTGGAGTAGCTATACTTATATCGGACAAACTGGACTTTAAAGGCAGTAACAAGGGACAAAGAAGGACATTATATAATAATTACAGGGTCCGCCCGTCAGGAAGAGCTAACAATTATAAATGTCTATGCACCAAATACAGGAGCACCTAAATACATAAAACAATTACAAACAAAAACAATCTTATGGATAAGAATGTGCTAACAGCAGGGAATTTTAATACTCCACTTACAGCAATGGACAGATCAACTAGACAGAAAATCACTAAAGAAACAAAGGACTTGAATGACACATTGGACCAGATGGATCTGACAGATATATTTAGAACTCTACATCCTGAGGCCATGGAATTCACTTTCTTCTCAAGTGTGCATGGCATTTTCTCCAAGATAGATCACATACTGGAACATAAAGCAACCTTCAATAAATATAAAAGAACTGAAATCATACCATGCACACTTTCAGATCACAATGCTATGAAACTTGAAATCAACCACAGGAAGAAGTCTGGAAAACCACTAAAAACATGGAGGTTAAAGAATACCCTACTAAAGAACAAATGGGCCAATCAGGAAATTAGAGGAGAAATTAAAAAATATATGGAAACTATGTAGAGTATCATGTCGTCTGTGAAAAGTGAAAATTTGACCTCTTTACCAATTCTGATGCCTTTTATTTTCTTTTGTTGTCTGATGGCTGATGCTAGGACTTCCAGCACTATGTTAAACAACAGTGGTGACAGTGGACATCCCTGTCATGTTCCTGATCTTAGGGGGAAAGTTCTGTTTTTCCCCACTGAGGATGATGTTAGCTGAGGGCTTCTCATAGATGGCTTTTATGGTGTTTAAGTAAGTACCTTCTATCCTGACTTTCTCAAGGGTCTTTTTTAAAAAGGGATCCTGTATCTTATCACATGCTTTTTCTGCATCTATCGACAGGATCATATGGTTTTTATCTTTTCTTTTGTTAATATGATGTATTAGAAAGCGAAAATGAACTACTGGGACCTTATCAAGATTAAAAGCTTCTGCACAGCAAAGGAAACAATCCATAAAACTAATAGGCAACTGACAGAATGGGAAAAGATAGTTGCAAATGACATATCAGATAAAGGGCTAGTATCCAAAATCTATAAGGAACTATAAACTATTTGTAAAAAAAAAACAAACAAAATCTATAAGGAACTGACCAAACTCCACACCCGAAAAACAAACAACCCAGTGAAGAAATGGGCATAAGACATGAACAGACACTTCTCCAAAGAGGACATCCAGATGGCCAACAGACACATGAAACGATGCTCAGTGTCCCTCATCATCAGGGAAATACAAATCAAAACCACACTGAGATACCACCTCACGCCAGTCAGAGTGGCGAAAAAGGAACAAATCAGGACACTATGGATGCTGGCAAGGATATGGAGAAATGGGCACCCTCCTACACCGTTGGTGGGAATGTAAGCCGGTGCAGCCTCTCTGGAAAACAGTGTGGAGGTTCCTCAAAAAATTAACAATAGAACTCCCCTATGACCCAGCACTAGCACTGCTAGGAATTTACCCAAGAGATACAGGAATGCTGATGCACAGGGGCACATGGACCCCAAGGTTCATAGCAGCACTCTCAACAATAGCCAAAACATGGAAAGAGCCTAAGTGTCCATCAGCAGATGAATGGATCAAGAAGATGTGGTTTATCTATACACTGGAATACTACATGGCAATGAGAAAGAATGAAATCTGGCCATTTGTAGCAACATGGATGGAACTTGAGGGCGTTACGCTGAGTGAAATAAGTCAGGCAGAGAAGGACAGATACCATATGCTTCCACTTATAGAAGGATTAGGAGAAACTTAACAGAGGACCATGGGGGAGGAGAAGGGGAAAAATAGTCAGGGAGAGGGAGGGAGGCGAACCAGGAGAGACTCTTGAATGCCGAGAACAAACTGAAGGCTGATGGGGGTGGGGGAGAGGGGAAGGGAGGTGATGGGCATGGAGGAGGGCACTTGTGGGGATGAGCACTGGGTGTTATATGGAAACCAACTTGACAATAAACTATTAAAAAAAAAAATTCAAATGTATACTGAATATGTGTTTTGTTTTTTTACACCAAATTGCCAGATAAACGAGATAAACTAAAAAAGCCTAATGGATTCCAAAACAGTATAACTACAAAAGTTTAATGAACACAATTACTTATCATGTAATACAAACAATATTCCTCCTTTTTAATGTTTTTATGAACTATTAGGTGGAGTGACAGAAAGAATGATGCATGGAAAAGATACTGTGTCTCTGTTTAAAGAATACAACCCTTCCCCTTCAAGCCCTGTCCTCCCTCTGATGCCACCACCATCATTTCCTGCTTTTTCTTTATAAAGGTTACTAAACGTGTTTGTATCGCCAAACAGAAATTGTTGCTCGTTGGCTATTTGGGGATTCTATACAGATACAATCATATGATCCGGATTCTTGTACAAATGGCTATTTTCAGCTGACAAGATACTGAGTTCCGTCTTAATATGGTAGGTTCTGCTGTGATGTCATGTAGTTTCACGACCCTTGCTGTTCCACTGAATGGCCAACTGCATCACAGTTTACTGATCTATTTTCCCGTTTATAGGCATTTGGGTTGTTTCCAGGTTTTTACTCTTTTAAGCAATGCTGCTGTCTTGGGGGCCATGAATTCCAGTACACATCTGCACCAGCTCCCGCAGAGCATACGCCGAGCAGTACAAGCGCCGCTCATACAGTATAAGTAACTCTGATGTTAGCAGATGATGCCTAGTAAGCACTTCTCAAAGTGCTTACCCCAAATGACACTCTTGAAACAGGGTGTGAGAGTCCCCAGGGCTCCCCATCTCCCTATCCACTTGGTGCTGCCAAATCTAATTTTGAGGGCGCGGTGGAATCTCACTGTGACTTTAACTTTCATTTCCTTGACTACCAATCAGTCTGAGCATCTTTTTGTTTTTAAGGTCCATGAGCACTTCCTTTCATGATGGGCCTGTTCACATCTTTAGCCTGACTTTCTATGGAGTTATCTGTCACCTTCTTAAAGACTGAAAAGAACTGTTTATGTATGCTAACTACTGGTTCTTTGTGTTGCAAATGACTCCTCCCACACTGCAGCTTGTCTTAACACTTTCTTTCTTTAAAAAATTTTTTTAAATATTTATTTATTTTTGAGAGAGAACCAGAGCATGTGGGGGCAGGGGAAAGAGAAAGAGGGAGACATAGAATCCAAAGCAGGCTCCAGGCTCTGAGCTGTCAGCACAGAGCCTGACACAGGGCTTGAACCCACAAACCGTGAGATCATGACCTGAGCCAGAGCCGGATGCTTTAAGCAACTGAGCCACCCAGGTGCCCCTACAGCGTCTGTGAAGAAAAAAAAGTATCTAATTTCTTTAAAGAACAAAAACTTATCAAATTTAATGTAATTGAAATTATCCCTTTATTCACTTTTGCATTTATGGCTTCTGCCCTTTATACAATTCACAGTTTTTTCCCACCTAGAAGAAAATAATTCTCCTATGATGTCTTCTAAAGGTTTTAAACTTTTCCCTTTCACATTCTCCCCTACCCTCACTTATTTAGATTGCAAACAGACAACAATAAGTAATGATTCATTATATCATTCCAACATTGTATTTTAGCAGAGAAATAGGAGGCTAAGAAGATAGGACCAGAAGCCAAGGAAATCAATGAAGTTTGCAAACAAATCCAAAGAACAAAGCTTCAGGCAAGTACCTGAGACTCTGAAGACGTGCCTTTCTTACTTACCCTCAAAATATCTCCTGAGAGGGTACCCCTGCCTGGGCCCAGTTCCACCAGTTGGAAAGCTGCATTTTTCCCAGTGGCCATCCATTCACTAATGAACCATATACCTAGCAGCTGTGACAAGGAAAAGAAAAAAAAAACAATACTGAAGTATTATAAAGGGTAAAATAAACAAAACTCCAAAGAAATAGGCACTTTATGCCAGAAAGAAAAATATTTGCCAAGAGCCACATGTGTGTCATTCACTGCACCCGTATACGTACGCACGCCCAGGAGCTTCGTGGAGGCGGCGTTATGCAAAACACCACTGAGGAAGCCCAGAAACAGGAGAGCACCCCTGAGAGGCAGCCCCAATGTAAGAGGCCCTCTGACACAAGGAAGAGGCTAGCACGTCCAGAAAGGTGCTGTTGGACAGCAGACAGACCTATGAAATAAGATGAGGCCGTTCCTTTACGTTCACAGGACTGATAGGATTACATGGCTTTTTAGGCATAATTAACATTTTTAACACCTGGATTCCACTTCCTTTTGTGTACTACTTTCTATTTCTAAATTCATCAGGGGTTTTTATGTGGCAATCAATGAACTGGAATTCCCGAGAAGTCAAAATTTGTCCGGGGGACTTCCGCTGGAGCTATGGTGTGACCACGGGCAGGGAGGGGCCGTAGAGCACGTCTCGCCCCACTAACTCCTCAGGGCTTTGCAACTTTTCTTCCTTCACTTTTCTCTCTCTCTTTCCTCTATTATTCTCTATTCCTCCAGCATCTAAATGATTAAAAATTAAAACTTTTGATGAATCACAAAAGCAAAGATGTAAAACACTCCTAATTACAAAAGAAATCAACCTTATCTCCTCTCAAGTGTTTGTGATATGAGCTTTTTTATTAATGTTTTTTTATTTGAAAGAGAGAGACGTGCAGAGAGACAGGGACCGAGAGAATCCCAAGCAGGCTTTGTCTGCACCTTTCACCTTCTGCATACAGCCCATCATAGGGCTCTGTCTCATCCACTGTGAGATCATAATCTGAGCCAAAATCAAGAGTCAGACGCTTAACCAATGGAGCCACCCAGGCGCCCAGATATTAGCTTCTCTTACAGTTGACATTGACTATTACCTCCCCAAAGATCTGACTTATCTCTGGTGAAGTGATGAAATCTCCTTTTTCTCCTAGCATGTCACGGTACACGTAATATCCCTGAGAGAAAAGAGAAAGTGGAGGAAACGGATTAACTTTCAAATAAGTTTTGTAAAACGGCCCTCCAGAATCTCGTATAATGTATACAATGACATAATCATTTGGTAAGAGAGTTCAGTCTTCTAAATAAGCATGATAAACACCGTGACTTAACTTAAACTTTACAAAGCACCAGTCATGTTGCAGAACTGGCAGAAACACAACCACTCCTTGACCATCGAGGCAGAAGCCACACCACAGCCATCTCCACATCCCACACCCCCCAGCCCCTCCCTGCTCCCACCACCCACACAGCAAGATCCTGCCTGCCCTTCCCTCCCACCTCCTCTTGCAAATTCTCACTCTCTGTCTTGGTGATGTTGTTGCAGAACCTGGATGCTTGTTAAGTGGGAGCGTTGACTTTGTGAAAATTCATCAAGCTACCTACCTGTGGCTTATGCGTTTTTCTGTATGAATGTTTATATCTCCGTGAAGTTTTTTAACTAGCCCTATTTGTCCATAAACCCATGCCAATGCAGATGCGCTCCTTTCTCCCTGCCTGCTTCTCCCTAGAAATCTTACACTCAATAAAAGTGAATCTGCTCCAATGTCACCTTCCCTGACTTCTTCCTCCAGCCTTCCAACCTCAGACTAAATGCAGTGCTTCCTTCATGTACCCCAATGTTCATAGCAGCACTCTCCACAATAGCTAAAACATGGAAAGAGCCTAAGTGTCCATCCACAGATGAATGGATCAAGAAGATGTGGTTTATCTATACCATGGAATACTCCATGGCAATGAGAAACAATGAAATCTGGCCATGTGTAGCAACATGGATGGACCTTGAGGGTGTTATGCTGAGCGAAATAAGTCAGGCAGAGAAGGACAAGTATCATATGTTTGCACGTATAGGAGGATTAGGAGGAACTTGACGGAGGAACAAGGGGGAGAAGAAGGGGGGAAATGGTGGGGGAAAGGGAGAGAGGCAAACCATGAGAGACTCTTGAATGCTGACAAAAACTGAGGACTGATGGATGTGGGGGGGAGGGGGGATGGGCATGGAGGAGGTCACTTGTGGGGATGAGCACTGAGTGTTATGTGGAAACTAATTTGACAATAAACTATTTGTAAAAAAAAATAATAATAATAATAAAAAAAGTAAAAAAAAAATGCAGTGCTTCCTTTATGTGTTTATTTATGTATCTGTGATCCTCACCAAGAAGCATGGCTATTTGGAGGAGAGGACTATCTTACTTTCCATACTGTCCCAAGTTTCAGCATACTGTCTAAACTTCAAGAAATACTCAAGAAGTCTTGGTTAAAAAATCCTCAAAAAAAAAAAAAAAATCCTCTATGCTCCCCAAGCCCCTTCTTTCACCATCTGACTCTTAGCAGGTGACCTGGGCTCCTATCTACAAAGAAATTCAAGAATGTTACAAAATAGGACTTACTCAGCTTCCCGACCCTACCTGACCCCACCTGGCCTCCACCTGCTCCCATTTGTTTCTTGAAACTCAAAGGATGAAATGCCTTCACCTTCTGCTCTTATCCAAACCTAATCACACCATGTGTGCTCTGGACACTGCCTCTCCTCACACAGCCCTCATGCGCCAGGATTCCTTCTCTTACAGCTTTAACTTCCACCTCTCAGCAGCAAAAATATACTTGAGTTATTCCCATCTTAAAAAAATTTTTTTCACTTCATACAGTATCTTCCCTCTGCCTTTTTCTTTCTCTTCATAAGTGAAGAGTTCAGGGATGTTTTTGTGGTGCATTATGAACCACTCTGGTAGCCTAATGAAGGCTATGGATCCCTTCATAGGAGGTTTTTAAATGCAGTACTTTAAAACACACAGGATTACAAATAAATAAATAACTTGAAAAATATTTATCCAATATTTGAAAACTAAGCTGATGCTATAATAATACATATGCATCTTTATAAGTATGTTAATAAACAAAGCCAAACCTAAGGTCTAATAAGTAACAAGGTTTTGAAGCATGGATGAGCACAATGGTATTGTGATACCTATGATCACTCTGTTGGGCATGACAATGTCAGTGATTTCATTTATGCTAAAGTCACAGGTATTACTACTGCCACAGGATGTCCCCTCTATTCATAATGAGGGAAATGCTAAACTTCAGTTAGAAGCTAATGAGGTAAATGCAAATTAAACCCATGAGATACTGCCTCATGCTTGTTAGAAAGGGCTCCATCAAAAACACAAGAGATAACAAAGGTTGGTGTGGGTGTGGAGAAAGGGATCCCTTGTGCACTGTTGGTGAGACTGTGAAATGGTGCCGCCACCATAGAAAACAGTACGGAAAATCTTCAAAAACTTTAAAGTAGAATACCACATGAGCCAGCAATTCCACTTCTGGAATATATCCAAAGGAAATGAAAACATTACCTTGAAAAGATATCTGCATCTCTACGTTCACAGCAGTATTATTTTAACAGGGGAGACATGGAAACAATCTAAGCGTCCGTCAGCGGATGAATGGATAGAGAAACTGTGGTACATAAACAGGAGGGCACATGCAGCCACACAAGGAACATCCCTGGTGCATGTGGTTTGGTGACCAGGGGAGATCGCACATAAGGTACCACAAGACCCCTTTTACACAAGGCTACTACTTTCAAGACCAGAAGACAGAGCTGGTTTAACAAATACATATATACAGAGAGTGAAACAAAATGAGGGGACAGAGGACTATGTCCCAAATGAAAGAACAAGGCAAAATCATGGAAAAAAGTGCTAAATGAAACTCAGATAAGAAATAACCCTAATAGGGGCGCCTGGGTGGCTTAGTCGGTTAAGCGTCCGACTTTCGCTTAGGTCATGATCTCGCGGTTCGTGGGTTCGAGCCCCGCGTCGGGCTCTGTGCTGACTGCCAGCTCAGAGCCTGCAGCCTGTTTCAGTCTGTGACTCCCTCTCTCTCTGACTCTCCTGCTCAGGCTGTCTCTCTCTCTCCTAGAAATAAACAAAACATTTAAAAAAAAGAAAGAAAGAAAGTAATCAGCCTTTAAAAAAAAAAAAAAGAAATAACCCTAAAAAAGAGTTCAAAGTAATGATCATAAAGATACTCACCAGACTTGAGAAAAGAGTGAATGAATGCAGTGAGAACTTCACAAAAAGATAGAAATTATTAAAAAAGAACCAGGCAGAACTAAAGAATACAGTAACTACAATGAAAAATATCCTAGAGGGACTCAAGGATTAGAGCCCCAGCTGATTAGAGGATGCAGGACAGATTAGCAATCCAAAAGGGTAATGAAAAGCAAACAAGCTGAACAGCAAAAAGGAAAACAGAATTTAGGGGCGCCTGGGTGGCTCAGTCAGTTAAGCGTCTAAGTTAGGCTCAGGTCATGATCTCGTAGCTCATGGGTTCAAGCCCCATATCAGGCTCTGTCCTGACAGCTCAGAGCCTGGAGCCTGCTTCGGATTCTGTCTTCCTCTCTCTCTGTCCTTCCCCTGCTCATGATCGGTCTCTTTCTCTTTCAAAATAAATAAACCTTTAAAAAAATTTTTTTAATGAGAACAAGTTAAAGGAATTCTGCAACATCTTCAAGCATAATAGCATTCACATTGTTAGGAATCCCAAAAGGATGAGAGAGAGAGAGGGCAAAAAACTTATTTTAAGAAATAATAGTTGAAAACTTCCCTAATCCAGGGAAGAAAGCAGAGATCCAGGAAGCACAAAAAATGCATAACAAGACAAACCAGGAAGGTACACACCAAGACACATAATAATTAAAACCACATAAAGTAATGATAAAAAGACAATCTTAAAAGCAGCTAGAGGGGCTCCTGGGTGGCTCAGATGGTTAAGCATCCAACTTTGGCTCAGGTCATGATCTTGCAGTTCGTGAGTTAGAGCCCTGTGTCAGGCTCTGTGCTGACACTTCAGAGCCTGCAGTCTACTTTGGATTCTGTGTCTCCCTCTCTCTACTGCTCCCCATCTTACTCACTTACTCTCTCAAAAATAAAGAAACATTTAAAAAAATTTTTTTTAAGCAGCAAGAGAAAACTGTTACATGTTGGGAGCCATCCTGAGCCCACTAGTTGAGAAAACTCCTGGTGAGGTTAAAGCAAGTTTGCACGGTCTCTTGCCAATCAGATGATGACCGATATCCACCCCCACTCAACTATTTCTGCTTGAGCACTGACCCCTAAGGTACCTTGTTGATCTACTCAATATCGGGAGTGACTTGTACCCTTATTCTGGCCCTGGTATGATGATTGCACCTTGTGAAGGAACTTATCGTGGGAACTTCTTCTTTTGATTATGAGAACAGACATCATGTCTCCAGAAGGTCCTGTTTCCCTCCATACTTTCCCTTGAGCTATGAACAGGCTAATGACCCTTACTCATAATAGATTGACCTTTACATGTACAATTCTGTTTCTACCGTTGCATTAGTCCAAGATGTTCATACAGCTCAACATGCAAATCAAATAACCAAAAATGTCTTTCATGCCCTAGCTATTCAAGAAATCATAAATGTAGACACAAATGTAAATGCACTTTAAGAGGCTATTCTATGTATTGGAAATGAGCTAAACTCTTTAAAGGTATGGTTGGCTCTCTGGTGCCGTAAAGAATATAACTGGAAAATCAAGTCTTGACTGGAGACAAAGAGCCTAACTTAGAGAAAAGGAACAGATAAGGGCAGAAGATAAGTTAGTACATACACCTTTGCTAACTGATGGTGTATAGCATCCCCTTCCCTAAGGCCTACTTTCCACAAACACCTTCCCTTACCCTGGCAGCTGTGATGAGGACGGATAAGAGTATCTACAAACCTATGACTTAATCTTAGCGTTATTAAAATGTGAACACCTTGTTATTTTTTTAGTTACTCAACCTCACTATAATTGGGGCAGTTCTGCAAGAAGACTTCTGTATAACGTGTTTCTGTACATTTTCCAAAAACATCTTATCACAAAGAGCTATCCATTGTAAAACTTCCATTTCCTGATGCCATGTTAACATTTGACCTAAAAACAAAGAC